ATACGAGGAGGAGGAAGAAAAATTATTGACTAACTCCTGATGATAGGACAAAGGAGCAATGGGCTTAGGAAGGAAAAATCAAATGCAAGAGCCATAAACTGGGGAATAACTTTGTAGGTGGTTGGACTGCTGAAAAGCTTCAGGGGGTTCTAGTGAATCACAAGCTGAATAGGAGTCAAGAAGGTGATGGACAGGCAAAAGAGGCCGACAGTATTCTGGGGTGTTTAGACAGGAGTGTTGTAGATACACCACAGGAGCGAATTGTCCTACTCTGCCCAGCCCTGGGGAAGCCCCGGCTGGATACTGAATCCAGTTCTGGGCACGGCATTTTCGGAAAGACGTAAACAAACCAGAAAGAGTCGAGAGGAAAAGCAAAATGACTCTCAGGTTTGAAAACCGGAGGAAAGGTGACAGGTTTAGTCTGAGGAAAAGACAAATGGAGGGGAGGGGGGCTGAGAACAGGCTCCAATATGTGACAGGCTGTGACAGAGGATGGTGACCAGTGCACGCCCACCGGAGGTAGGACAAGGAATGGGCTTAATCTGCAGCAAGGTTTGATATTAGGAAACCCTTCGGAATAGGTTTCCATTGTTGGGAGCTTTTAAAAGCAAGCTGGACAAACCCGACAGGGTGGGAGCCGGCTTCCCTGGTCCTGCTGCAGCGCAGGGGCTGGATTTGCTGACCCTGCGAGGGCCCTGCACTTCTAGGACTGTGCGAGTCACAGGCAGGACATGTCTGGCTTTGGACTGCAACACAGAGAAGTTCTGGGCTCTTGGGACGATCAAACCACAGTCAGGATCTTGGAACCAACAAGTCTGTTCGTTTCCACAGGAAAGTACCTTGTTACAAATCACTTTGGAGGAATTGGTGGCAGCTGTAAACCCTTTCTCCTCCCTCCCCAGCTAAGCAGCATTATTGTCATACAGCAACTGAAAATCTGTTTAACCAGCCCCGAGGGAGACGGGCTAATGTAGTCTGCAACCGCAGACAGGCGGCTTTGTGTTAGAAATATGAATTTATTTCCCAAATCTTTAGCTATTTAGATGCTAAAAGTTCCATTCCCTCTCATTAGTCTAGCTCTCTCTGCTCTTATGTAAACAGCTCCCTAAATGGCTTGGCTTGGCTTGTTTTGTTTTTAATCTGCATTTATTTTGGCATCAGGAAAATCTTTTGAAAACCAGGCTGGGGTCCTGAGCTGGTTTTTCTAGGCCAGAGTTTTGAGGATCCAGGATGGAAAACCCCCTGTTCACCCTCTCTATTGACTTGGCCTCTAGTGGAGGCTCCTCTGGACAGACAGCTCCCAGCTACTCACAACACGCATGATCCAGACCTGCTCCCATTTGCAAAGGACTCTGGGTTTCTACCATCATTGCCTGTAACACTGGGACAGGTCTGAGCACAAACCTGTTATTTCCTCTTACACACCCGTGCTAACACACCTCTGCTGTGCCCAGTAGTGGTTTGTGACAAAGAGGCAGGATGGTGTAATGGTTATAGAAGTGGATTTCTGTTTACTATTCCCAGGCCTTCAATTCATTGGCTTTGTGACAAGTCGCTTCATATCTCTTCCTCAGTTTACCCATATGAAAAACAGGTGCACTACCACTTACTAATTATGTCACCTGACCGAACGCTCTTTTGGCCAGGAACCGTGTCTGGTTCACTTGTCTGTAAAGCACACGCTGCTGGAGCCAAGCAAACGTCGGGTAACGATTTCCAGGAAGTAAGGGGGTTCTTTTGACTATCCAGTCTCAAACTCCCCAGGAAGGAAAAAAGTTTCTTCAGAAAAAGGCTCTTCAGTAAACTGGGGGAAGCTCACATGGGAACTTAAGCTGCCAGTTCATTTATTTACTGGGCTGTGAGAAGCAGCCGACGCTAAAACAGAAGGCAGTCTCTGGGATGGAAGTCTCATCACAGCTGTCCCACCTGTGGGATGTGGCTTCTGATCTATTTCAAAGCACCGCGGCACCTTTGATCTGACGTAAAACCTCACTGTTTTGGGCAGCTTTATTTTCAAAGATGACAGCAAGAGCATGCCCAAGGGGGACGGCATGAAACGCACATGCCTCTGGGTAAGGGGGTGGGCAAGAAACCCAAGCCCCAGCCCCTGGTTTCTTCCAGCAAGGCAAGGCAAGGCAGCCACCTTTCTGTGGCTGAGAAATCCACACACAGGTGAAACTTCTTAATAAGCAGCTGTTATCGGGATTAACGTTGTTTGATATTCTAAACGAGATCAGGGCCTGTCCAATCTCCATGCCTGATACAAGAAGAACTAAGGCCTTCTCGTCCTTCGAGACAGGGGAACATTAGCGCCGTCCTTTGACCGCACCCAGCTGGCAGGGTTTTCACCTCTGCAGACCTGGGTTTGGATCCCGAGGGACTCTGCTATTGCCAATCTGAGTTGGAAAGCGCATGGGTAGCAGGACAGAGCCCGACAGTTGATGGATTGCTGCAGTGGAGACGTGCCTAGCCACCCTTCCAGACCAGACCGGCTGATCTGTCCCGCATATAACTGGGCGTTTGGTACGTCTTTGCTCTGAAGGCAAGGCCTAGAACAGGGAGGCTGCCAGGCTACCGCTAGGGTGAATGGCTCCTTTTCTCAAGCCCCACGTTCATAGGAAGGTGACGAGACAACAGCCTTGCTGACTCTGAGCTTTGCATTGTGAACTCCACGCCGTGTCAACTGCAGGATCCCTAGCCAATGGCCCAATTCCAGGCCACCTGCTACCAGAGGGAACTGACAAAGGCTGATATTTTCACCTTTAGAGTCGAGGCTCCCAAAATGGGACTGAGTGACAATACATAGACCAACCCACAGGACTCCTTGCCTCTACGTATCACTAAGGCCAAGAGCATAGAGAACTAAAACAAAGAAAAACATATAGATAATGAGACCTTCCAGGTTCAACAAAGAAAATAAGACAAAGAAGGACTCATGCTCCAGGGCATGTGCCAGGCACCTGCCATCGGGGTCAGGCAGTAACTTCCTTTAAGGACAAATTATTCTTAAGTGTCCACTAGGTGTCCTTGCACCTTCCTCCTGGGGACTGGACATTGGTTTAAACAAGTGACCACAGGTCTTCCTCTGCCCCATTTCTGTGCCAAATATCTGCACTTACTGCTCCATTCTGAGGCCATTCATTAGCAGCCACGCCTCTGCTATTATTTTTAAAATCCCATTTAGTCACACTTCCCCTGTCTGGAAACAAACCACGCCAGACAAGATGGAACGCAGCTAGTGCTCAGTGCGGTGGCTAGCTAACGGTCTGCTCCCTAACAGATCAGAGCTGGCTGAGCTAAACTCGCTGTCACCATGAACAACCAGAAGAAGCTGGAGGTGGAAGGAAAGGCAACAGCTGATGTTGATTGCTGTAGACTGAAGGCCTCTTTGGGATGACTGAAGGCCTGGAGGCAAAACAGGCCACAGCTCAGCCAGCCTGAACAGCAAAGCCCTGGCAATGCACAGCGGTGTCTGTGCAGAGGAGAGAGCCGTTGCTGTTACCTCGTTTTTCTCAACCTCCAAATGAACCTGGATAAAACAGATCAGCTCCTTGCTCCCTCTGGAGTGAGTCTCATTAAGCTTTCTGCTCCTAGCCATTGCCTATTTTATGTATTTATTGATTGATTGGCGGGGACAGTCTGGGGGAATGATCTTGTTACTGGCTCCCTGCAGCACAAAGCCATGAATCTCACTTCGTCCCGTTGGGTGTAACCAACCAGGAACAGCATTGAGATGGTCAGAAAAGAATTGTTAAAACAGAAACTTTGGCCAAATTCAGTCCCGCGTTTCACCAGCAAGTCGACGTAGTTTTGCTAAGTTACGGTTTCTGCAGAGATACCCGAGTTTGTTCCCTGCCCTGCGGAACCGTCCAGAGATGCAACAGGTCCTATCCCCCTCAATTGCTGTCAGCGCCCTCAAACAACGGAGCACTGAAATGCAGAGGCGTTGCCAGTTGTGGGTTAAGCAGAGAGCAGCCCCACGAGTCTTGCTCTGGAGTTGCCTCAGTTTTTGAACACGTCCCTTCGGCATCTCCAGGCAAGTCACAGGTGGAAACAGACACGCTCTTAGAAGGTAGGGAGACAAAGTCTTTGGCCCCGCTCCAAGAAAAGCGTGGTGGCGACAAGAGGCCAACAGATGTTGAGACTTGGGGCTCTCCATCTGGCCCACAGAAGGGGACAGAGCTCTGTGGCAATGAGCAAAGGACCTGGGCAGGACCCTGATCAGAACAGCTCCCACAAAGGTTTTTTTTGTTTTTTTTAAAAGAGAGGAAGCCAGCAAGCGAGACACCTGTTTCCCTTTGGCACTCAAGCAGTTAAACAGGAGAAAGTGACAGATGACTTCAACCACCTGGGTGAACTTTAGAACCCCAGAGGAGCAGACACTCCTGCAGACAAAGCAAGGGAAAGCCAGCAGGGCTGGGAGAGAGCTGGTATCTTGCACTCCCACCCCACGCCCTCAGCCTGCTGTTACATCACGGAAACAAGGGGGAAAAGCCCCGTTGAAAAGGCCAGGCTGAAAAGGACACTGCCAAAACAACAGAAAACCCCCGGCTGTTTGTTTCCGTCGGGTAGGACCACCCCAGCTCTGCACCTGCAGCTGGCCAGGAGCCAGAGCCAGGAGGCTCGACATGAAGGCTCGACTACTTTGCAGTATGGAGGCGTGGCTCCCAGAGACCACGGAGAGCAGCGTGCTCAGCGCCGGCCAGAGCCAAGCAGAAAACGCTTTGTTTTCAGTCCATACGGGGAAGTTCTTGGCAAGACACCAGCCTGGCTCCCACTGCACCCAACTCACCAGCTCAGCAGACTGAGGTAGACACAGAGTCACTCGCTTAAAGTCACAGGGCCGGTTAGGAAGACAGGCCTATGCACGTGGAAGGCTGGGCCAGTGGGACCGGCACCAACTGGGAGATGGTGCAGAGAGAGGCCCTGACCACTGGGAGGCGCTCAGGGACTCGAGTGAAGGGGGCGGGCCAGGCGAGATGGAACCCGGAGCTACCCACCTGAGTGCGTGCGGAGGTGGCCGGTGAGCGCGTCTCTCCGGCGGCAGGCGTAGTTGCAGAAGGGACATTTGAAGGGCTTCTCGCCAGAGTGCAGTTTGATGTGGCGCAGGAGGTTCCCCTTCTGGGTGAAGGAGGCGCCGCACTGGTTGCAGTGGAACGGCCTTTCCCCTGAAAGACAAGCAGCTTGTGAGACCCCCTGCGGGGTGGGTGACAAAATCCTTCCTAACATTGCCCCAGAATTCCAGGCTGGGCGGGGGGTCGTCAGACTGACAGCCTTGCAGCCCCGGGTCTATCCAACAGGGAACACGTCCCCCAGCCCCCCTACATGGGAGCTCCATTAAGGGCCCCCAGCCCATCCAGTCCTTGGCGCCTGCACCTGCTGCTCACCCGTGTGGCTGCGTTTGTGCACCATCAGCACGTTGGGGCCGATACACACCATCCCGCAGATGTCACATTTCAGCTTGCCGTTGGGGAGCCGGATGCCGCCGGGAGAGTGAGGCTCCTGCCCTGTGCCGTCGCAGTACCCCAGGGGCTCGGAGAGGGAGTCCTCCACAATCACGCTGTCTTCTTTCTCGATGAGGCGGTCGTCCTGCGACAGCAGCCTGCTGGCTTCTTCATCACTGTACATTTCCACCTTGATTGAGTTTGCTACAGGGGGATGGGAGGGACAACAAATACATCAATTCACACATGGTCAACGGGAAAAACTCAATAGGCAGTTGAAAAGAACTAAGAGTAATACCACTGATGTTCTATGCGTCACGGCAAGGAAAACAGGGAAGAACGCGTTAAATTATTTGCTTGTCAGGATCTTGATTGGTTAAGGGTGCATAAGAACACTGCTTCTCCCCGTATTTCCCAGATTGCTCCCATTTCCACAGGAAAATTGGGCAGCTGCTGACCACAGGGCATTAAAGAATCTGATGGCTCGTGGGACCCGAGAGATACGAGGCCAAAATTGAAATAGTGAAGTGGCCAAATGCAACCAGAAACTTTGCTGGTTTTGATCGTCTGGGTTGCCAAGCAGCGATTGCCTGGCTGAGAAGGGGTATTCAAGAGGAAGTGGACGACTAGGAGTTCTGAAAGCAGTCACCGGGCAAGTCCAAGCGCTGACAGCAGATCGTGAATTTGCTGGCCAGCCGCACGGCAAAGTCACCTAGGCCCAGAACACGTGCATGAGAATGAAGGGATGGCTGGGATCAGTTGACCGTGGTAGATGCTATGCCCTGGGATACTGAAAACTCTTGGAACAATGCGGAGCCTCTGGAAAGAAGAGGGTTTGTGGAAGCGGGGCAAAGACACAGGAATGGTGCATGCCATTATGGAGGAGAGCTCTACAAATGGGGCCTGGCCAGACTTGCCAGGGGCCAGTGAAACACAAGAATCAAGCAGTAGAAAAGCTGGGGCCATGGAAAAGGAGTGTCCAGTAGAGGGCCTGCAGCAATAAGCCTGGCTCACCAGGCCAATGGTGAGCTCCCCTGGGCCACACCAGAACCCGCCCCATCACCTCGAATTTAGGGCATCCTTTATCCCACCTCTCCCAGAGTGGGCAGGACTTGAACCCGCCACCCTGCCCTTGGTTACACGCAGGGCTCCCCTAGCCTCCCGCACTGCTGCCTCTGTATCAGAGGCAGCAGCATGGGGGAGGGGACAGGCCAGGCGGGAACCAGCCGCCTTCCCCGCCCCCACATGTAAACATGTAACCACTGAATTTTTCAGCGGTTACATGTTTACCTGAACATTTGCATTTTAACAGCCACAGTGCACACCTGGAAGTACAGTACCCCGTAAGAGCACCCCTCCTCCTGAGGCAACGAGGAGGAGAGCATTAGCCACAGAGGTCTGCAGGGATAGTCAGTGCGGCACTTTGTTTCTGCCAAGGGAAACCTGTCCAGTGCAGTGTTTCTAACGGACACCACACAGTATACCTGATCTCCAGCGTGTTTCCCAAGCCCCCTGCCTGCAAGCTGCACCCGTGCACACGGCCTTCTGGCTGCCACCTTTCTTCGCTCCTGCCGCATCCCCGGCTGAGACTGGAAAGCGGAAAGGAGCTGCCAGCCGTGACCTACATTCCCAGCTATTCTAATGATCTGTGGAATGCCACAAATCAAACAACTCTTCAGGAGACACACAGTGACTGGACAGCGACGACTCCCTGCTTATTCCCTTGAGAGCCAGGTAGAGCACCGTGGGCAGAGGAAGGACTGGGGCTCCCTGTCCCCACATTTTCTGATCTCTCCAGACCCCTGGTGTTTCCAGGCCAGCCTGGGAAGGGTAGTTTTTCAGAGCAGATGGGGAGACCCTTTAAGTGTTGGTCACACCCTGAACAAGACAGGGCATTTCCAGCTGGGTGTTACTCTCATGTGAAGCACATTTCCCCTGGAGAGCAAGGTCTGTGCATGATTCAGTTTAGAAGTTTCCTGCTGCATTAAGCTGTCCCCAGGAGTCAAGAACTACAGGGAATTCCCTCCAGGGATTCCTCATGCTGCTCTTTAGACAGCAATAGCTGCTTCTTTGTAATGAAGCCCCCACCCCCTGTTCTCCTAGTGCTCCTGCAAGAGTTGGAGCCGGCCAGTGAGCGGGTCACCCAGCGGAAAGGCAGACCACAGCTAAGCCACACAGGAGTTTAATTGCTTCCCTTCAAATATCAGAGTCTTTATTTCTTCCATTTAATGCACTAGATGTGGCTGTTCCCGATCTCTCAGCATGTGGGCATGCCAGGAAATTGACTGGCCTGAATTTCAGACTACAAGATTCTCCTGCTGTTTGGATTTCCTCACAGAGCCTGCAGTGCCTCCTGGAGACGGGTGTGAGGGCTGCACATGGGACTAGTCACCATGAACTCCTGGCTAGTGCCAGGTTTGATGCGGACCCAATCCCTGGAGCAACGCAAGGCACAGCCTTGTGCAAAGGGGGCTAATTCTCACCTAACGTCTGGAGGACTCAGTTAACATGGGCAACACGCTTTCAGGGTCTCGGCATGGATTTAGCGCTGTGTTTCCACAAGAGGCCAGCGATTTGAATACCAAGTGGTCAATGGGATTAGAGCCTTAATGAGCCAAGTTTTGGATTTGGGGTAAGACTGGGCAGGTACATTTGTTGGGGATAGAGATGTAATAGTGTAGTCGATTAACCGATAAGCAAAAGCTTATAGATTAATGCTACATGCTACACGCATTCCGGCCCTTACTAGTAATTTTTTTTAGCAGGCTGGCCAGCAGCCCAGCTCAGTCCTGGCTTGCGACAGGTCTGGGCAGGAGCACAGGGTAACAGGCAGCCAGTCCGTGAGGGGAGCTTGTTTTTAAACTGGCTCCCCTCGCAGACCAGCTCACAGCTGGCACCCCACGCTACTGCCTCTGATACAGATGCAGCAGCGTGGAAGGGCAGAGAACTCCTCAGGAGTGGAGCCGGAGCACACTGGCTGCCGGCCCTGCCCCCACGGACTATAGAACAATCGACTAACCAATAAGAATTCATGAGGTTACTCGACTATTCAATTAACCGATATTTAATATCCCTCATTGGGGGGTGCATCGGGATGCTGCAGGTTTTCACTGCCCTTCAGAGAGATGGCTGTTAGGATCGAGGGTGGCAGCTTCTACTCAGGTGACCACCTGGGACCACAGGCTCAGCACAGACACTCTTCCGCCATTCTGCGTTCCATGTGCCACCAGTGAATCCTGGTCACAGCCTGAAAGTGACCGGTCCCCACTCCCTGACTGGTGAGTGTGTGGTCAGCAGTGGGATATACTGTAGGGCTCAGTTGCCTGTACTTTGTGGCCTACGGGCAGACCACAGCACAGTTGAGGTAGCTGCTTGGACTGAAGGATGGCGAATGCTACATTCCCTTTGCACTTCAATGGAGCCTTTCAAGCACTCTGTGAGATCAGGGGATCAGCCTCCTTTCACAGACTGGGAGAACCGGAGAAGGGAAGTGATTCATTTGAGGTTTCCTTATGGCAGCGGCAGAGCTGGGTTCTGGCTCTCCAGTCTCCGCTGTAACTGACAGACAAGGCCATCTCCCAAAAGCCTCCTGAGGAGATGAACACAGCTTCTGCTTGGACTTGGGCACTAACAGCTTGACTGGCATGCCACCGGTCGAGGCAGCTGCTGGATACTGGCTGGGCTAGACCGAGGCTGAAATGCTTTCCTGAAGTTTAAAACCCACCACGTTCTGCCGGGTGCATCCTGGAGACACAGCACGAATGGACGCCTCTGTGCACAAACACGAAGCGAAAAGCTTCTCTCTTGGCAGGAGCTGCCCGGATACGCGGATGTTTGCTGCACTTGGATATTTTTTCCGTCCCCCCGGGGACTGTTATTTTCTGTCTGGGAGGAGAGGCCAACTATTGTTCTGCAATTCTCTTTTCAGAACCAATGCAGAGCCCAGCCTCCGTGGAGTGCAATTCTCTGCTGGCAGAGCAGGTTATATAATATTCCCACTCCTCTGGGGCACAAGGCTTGTGGAGGAACCAGCTGTGAAGTCAAGTCAGATCAGGAGCAATACCATCACCAGCCTCCCTCCATTAAAGGGGAAGGGAGCTTGCTTTTTCTTGAGGTCGTTCTTGGTGGGATTCTCTCTCCTTATGTTCAAGTGAAAAGTTGGGAGTTTCCCTAGGCTTTCCTAAGCGAGAACTAAAGTGAGATTCATTGGGGGCCTTCTACCCATTTTTACAAGACGCAAACCACTGGCCAAATAATACAGGAGGAAAGGGAACAAACCCAGGCTAATTTATCATGGTGCAACCTTATTACTTTGGATCTCACTTGTCCTAGCACCCTTTGGGCAGCCTCCAGATCCACACTTTTGGGAGCTGCTGGAAGCACGTAATAAAAAATGAATGAACTACACGGTAATTTCTCTTTTACAGAAAGTAAATCGCTCCTCTCCCTCTCTCCTGTAAGCATGTGATCACTGTGATCTGTATCACCTGGTCAGTTTCAATTTGGGATCAGTTTTGGGGAGAAATGCTGACTCCAGCACTC